CTCTTTTCCTCGAAATTATAGTCAGTAAAAGTTCTAACAGTAAAACCAATACTTTCGCCGCTCTGCATCGAAGCTAAAATAACCAAAGTAGGGTCTATTAACCACAGATTAATAGATTAAAAAGATTAAAAATGATAAAAAATGTTCAAATGTTTAAGTGATTTTTAATTTTTGTAGAAATTATCATACCATAACGTATACATTAGTTATTATTATAATGTAATGGACATTTTATAGTTAGTATAATTTTGTGTAATGTTAGAAATATTCGACTATTATTAATCGTAATGTGATATTACATCGGGATACAAATTTTGCAACTCCTCGGTACAATTCTTCCGACATCACACACCTCTTGTCGGATTGAGTTCATCGATATAATCTGTAAGTGACCAAATGACGCTAAAGTTGACCGTACTGAAAGCCAATTTCAGATGAGTCAAGAAAGCTTTTGCGTTCTCCAAACTATTGTACTCGATGCCCTCGTTACTGGCCGTTTTTTCCGGAAATTTGATTTGTTCTCCGATCAGGCTTGTATATGGTATAGTAAACTCTCGATTGTCTATAACGAATTCATTACCAGCGTCGCATCCGAAAGGCTCACAAAGCGTATTCAGTGTTTCAACTAAAAAGTCGACCACATTGGCTAATGTCTTTGTGCCGCCGATAAGCTTTTTGAGATTGTCCAGCAAGCGGTTAACGTGTAAATCATCGGACAACTTTAACATAGTACTAAACTGTACCACTATATTGTGCCATTCTTGCGCGTAACGCAAGAAGGTGTCCGAATCATTAGAGTAATCTTGTAAATATGTCATGTGTTTTAACGACAGACGGACCAAGATGATTTCGAAAAAGTCAAAACACGCGTTGTAGTACATTTTAATCGGGTAAAGGTTGGTGTTGGCCCAATCCAGGTGTCGCGCATTCGCCCAAACCGTATGCAGTACCGCGCTAGAGTCGTTCCAGTTCATTTTCAAGTTGTACACGTTTTGTAAATCGTATTTGATCCGTTCGTGCTTGCCCAGGTTGTGCAAAAAGAGCGTATGGATTTGTGTGTTTATTTCGAGCCTTTGTCTCAACCGATCGTCACTGATGATATCGTTTTTCTGCAGCTGAAGGTTGGCTTCGTCCAAGTGCTGTGCGAGTATAGTGGTTTTATAATAACCTGGTCCGGACGTCCCCAGCGATTTCAACACGCTGCCGAAGGAGTCGAATGAATTGTCTGGGCGACACCCGGTCAGGTCGGCTTGCAGCTTATCGACGACATAGCCAAGGGTCTCGACAGTGTTCGTCGGATTTGGGTATCTCTGATAAAAACTAGCTATCAAGCCCGTGAACAAATACAGCGCTCACATGGCGCCAATACGTTTTGCTTTCAATCCGAACAACGAAACTATCTGCGATCTCACTACATTGCTGGTACTACTGATCGGACTGACCAACCCTTTCAATTCTGTATTATAAGGTTTTCCGAGTATAATCTTAAACATCCGCATATGTGTATACCAGCCAAACATATATCCGCACCTTAAGTCCTCGCAGAGTTGATCGTTTCCAATAGCACGTTCGCTCGTGTATGCGTACCCGGTCTCCAGTGACTGCACTAAAGTGTAAACGGACAACGTCAAACCCAAAGCAATTAGCGACAATAGTTTGGGGCGCACCATATTGCTTAAGTTTTGAAAACGACTTAATCGGTGAAAAAGTATTTTACGTTTGCTTGGTTCTTGAGGTGACGAAATGTTGCGACTGAAAATATTATCGTTAACGAGACAAAATTGTAATGCTTCTCTTCGTATTTATGACACTTTACATATAAAAAGCTCTTTGTCGCTGTAGGTCTATTTGTTTAGACCATATTTTTTAGCTGCCAAACGTACATTCAATAATATTTTTTATTGTTTTAATTTAACCGCCTAAATAATAGAAAACGAGTACAGCGGGTTTGGCGTATAGCGGGAGCGGAGCATAGTGGGGACGGATAAGTCACAGGTCTACAAAAATTATTATAACTCAGAGTGATAAAACTGCCAATTTCTTATTTTTTTTTTGTCGTGATGTTAAAATTTAATTTAATCAAGTATCATAACTATTTGTATAAACTACACGGGTACACATTAAGATTATTTAATGTGTACATTGTCTGCTAGTTAGTACACATTTTTTAATTAGAAATTTAATGTATATATTTTTTATGACTACGACGATTTGTACCTAATGATATTTAAAAAAAAATTTGGATACACTCGATATAATTTTTTATCCGCTTGAAAAAAATAATGCATGAAAAAAACGAGAAATTGTCATTGTTGTTTTAATTTGCATCCGTCGTAAAATAAGTTAACGAAAAAATACAATTTTTAAGATTTTCTGCGTTTTTTCTTCATGAAAAAAGTAGTACAGATTATGTACAAGTCGTTGGTATACCTATTTTTTAGTCTAATTTTCGGCTATTAAGTATTAAAACTGCGCCTAAAATATAAAAAAAGTGCCAACCCCTGTTGGTGGGAGGGGGGGGGGGTACAGTGTTATTAAAATTAAGATTTAAAGATTTGAATTTCAACAATTGTATACTTATATTAACCCGAACATCCGGACCGCGTGGCTACTATGACCATAGTATTTTAGCATCCATAAGTCACAATATAGTATCATATTAGTGAGTAAATAAATAGTATAATATAAATCTTTGAGATCATTTATAACTCAATACATCTACGGCTCTCCTAATTATTGGCTTCGGTTTATTTATAATATTGCAAAACCCGTCTAAAGTCTAAAGATGGGCGTGACCATACGCGAACATTAAAATACAATTTATTTTTTCACCTAGTCGTATAGTTAAATGTAATTAATTTACAACTATTGTTTTTCAAGTACACAAAATCGTTTGTCCCGTGGAAACGTGCAATATTCTTAACACCTGTAGAAAACGATAATTTTCAATTAGGTATCACTTGCCCCGTTTGCACTGTAATACTGTTGGGTGTTTTTTTTTATTAATTGCGTTATTGATATGAAGAGCGGTAAATAAATAAAAATCGAAATTTAAAACCGCACTAAAAACACAATTCAAGTACGACATTATATTATTATCGTAGGTTTATCTTTAATTTCCGTTATACTTCTTTCTATGTAGCAGTTGCATACTAATGGTGAAAGTGGTATCTTGTAATTCATCACCTTGGTATAGTTCTTCAAGGTATTTTCCGCATAGGTTTACCACCTCTATTGTGTCCAAGAGCAATTTACTATTTTTGCCTTTAATATTATTATTTTGAGGTAACTTTAAATGGTTCCGTAGGCTTGATCTAGCCATTCTTCTTTTGCTTAATTGATTCTCTGTTTATACAGTTTCTTAAGTTTCGATATTTTAGTTGTCCTTCTACGTCAGTCCGGTGCTTGTATTTTCGTCTTTCTTCAATTAGGTCTATGATATTTGGAGTGATCTATTTCTGAATAGATTTTTTCCTATACATGTTTATTGCAGTGCTTTTTATGCTCTCCCACCTTTTGTCTATTGGTTCTTTTTACTCATCTTTATTGTTGTACATTTTGTCCATGTTTTTTTTAGATCTTCAAATACTTCCACGATTTCCAACTCTTTGAAATTATAATTTGTTTGTACTCTTTCAACTTTAACGATTTTTTTAGCTTTATACAAAATTGTATAATACATTTATTTATTTATTTATTATTTATTATTATATTATAATTTATTATGTATTGTTAATAAAAAATGCTGAGTAAATAGATATTAGGGAGATCAAAATAATATCTCCACGTGTAAATTATATTAAATGTATGTAAAATATTTAAGACAGAAAATATTAGGGAGGGGGTCACAGTTGTACAGGAATTATTACAATTTAAAGTGTTAAATTACGTTTAAATAAACGTTTTAGATAGTAGGAACGCAAATATCGATAAAATTGTAATAATGACGACAATAATGAGCTTATAATAGTCATAATTTTTTACCTTCGATGAGTAACTATAAAATATGTAATTAATTTTTTATTAAAAACAATGTCGAAAGTTTTCGAAGATAAATAATTTTTTTCGAAAAAAAGCCGTTGGATAAGGTGAACCTACAACGATTATTTAACATATAGTTAAGAAAGAGTCCAACTTAGCAAAGTTGTGGCGAAGCAATTTTTTAAATTTCTAAAAATGATTTCATCAATAGGTACAAACGCTTCCATGTGCATTTGCAAATAGTAAGAATGTAGCAAAACCGTTTTAAATTGTATAGAGAATATTTCTAAATATTCTTTATAAAATATACTAACAATAAAATTAACAATCAATAATTTAATTGCAATAATTTTAATTTAATTTGAAGTTTTAGTGCTATTAGGTATTATTGGATTGATCTTCTTTCAATAATAATTGTTTTCTTTTGTTACCCATTTACCGTAATTTGTATTATAACGAAAATGTTTTTAACACCTGTTAACTATTAAATTACTTACCTATAGCAATTTGAAATTTTCAACGGCATAAGTGTTATTTTCCACTTTATTTTTTGGGTTTCTTAAATAAAAAAAATATTGAAAAAAGGTAGATCTAATGTGGCTCAATAACAATTAACATACAATTTTAGCAATGCTTTATTGTTGAACATTTGTAGGTGATCAGTTTAACACGAGACACATTTTTTGTTTTTGGATAGGCACAATATTTTCAATAACAAGGAAATCACGAATATTCAAGAAACGCGACGAATCACATATATTTGTGTAGAAAATTAATTATGTTTAGTAGTTTTTAGCTTCTACATTTTGAAAACAGCATTTTTTTTTTGATTATATAATTATTTCTTAAGGACCTGTGATTCTATCGTGTTGGGTTTTAAAAAGTTTTGCTCTTACCCCTATTAATTGTACTTTATAGTATAAAAGTAAGTTAAATAATATAAATATATATATATTATATATATATATATATTTGGGCTATCCAAAACCAATTCAATTAGTAAGTAAAAAAAAAAAACATTTATCGTAGTCTGACCTGGAAATATATTTCTCCAACATTTATAAGTAATCGAGATTTGAAAATACAATTACTTTTATAAATTAGTTAAACATTCTGATTTATTCAATTGAACTTTTATATTATGATAAATGAGATTTCTCCAATTATTAGAATTTCTGAACGAAATACCGAGAACGTAAAATTGTTCTTTTTGTAAACTGTTGTCTAATAACAATAATAAAAATATATCTAATTATTTCTGTTAATCGACGACAGGTGATCATTGATGTTAATACTAAAAACAGTGATGAAGTTGTATGGATGGAAATGAAATGGGATGTAACAATATTTTTGCTATTGTATCGACTCCTGGTAGTTTGCTCGCGATGTGTCCGATTTCATGCAGGTTTTCGGTCAAACTGATATATATCTATATGGAAAAAAAATATATAAATATACATATATAATTACCAAATAATAAAGTATTTAAATAAAAACCTAACATTCATCTTATAAATAGTTATATTTTATCATTATGTTAACATTAAAACATTAACGTTATTAAATCAGCCAAAATAAAAATATACATATTCAAATTTTAAATTTATATATATTTTTTAAAGTGTTTTCAGTATATTTAAAAGAACCACCGACTGGATTATATTATACGAGTGGTATTGAGTTAATCCAAGGAAAATAACTAAAGCAAGTGATTTGGCTACCCTTTGAAGAAAAAAATTTACATTTTTGTTCCAGATACAACTTAAATGTCAACACACGTCTGTCTGTATAAAAGTCAAAACAAAATTGAAAACATAAGTTAATTAATGTGCATTTTATATAAAGAGTTAAAAGGCTATACGCTATATGCTAAGCATAATAAGTCAATGTCTAAAAGTCAAGACTGGACTAAAGTTATACAGTTGAAGTATTATATGTTTTGCAATTAATATAGTCGGGACGGAAATTCTGGTATTTGATCGTGATTGAAACCAAGGAATCCTTAATTGCCAGTCGAATACTCTCATACAAACAAGTCGGAAGGTAGCTCGGCAATCAAAGCACCCGGTTGGCATTAATTCAGTGGTGTTAGTTCAAATCCAGGTCGCCCACTGAATTTTTTGTTTTATTAACTATAATGAATATATAAAACACTTAATTCTCCAGGTTCTACAAATCTTACCTGTTTTTTACATTAATTACACACTTATTTAGTACCATATTATAAAAGTGGAATTTTACTAACATTTGTAAAATTTTATTAACTTGACATACCTTATAATATATTAAATAAGTGTCCATATTTTGTTTTTTTCTTTAAATCCTAAGTATATATATTATACAAGTAGATATTTTATAATATACTACAAGTCTCTAAACTTTTTTCTCGATTTTGTCCATAAATGTGGCAAGATTTACATCGTTAGTAGATAGTCCGCTCACGTCATGAGTAGCCAACGTGACTTGTACTTTATTATAAACATTGAACCATTCTGGGTGGTGATTCATCTTTTCACTTTTAATTGCAACTTGAGTCATAAACCCAAATGCCTGAAAAAAATAAAAACAATTTTAATTAAAACTTAAATATTTTTTTTATATACGTATATATTTTTATATTTCAGTAAATTTATATAAGTAAAAAATGTTTACTTGGATAAAGTCAGCAAACAAGAATTCTTTGTAAATAGCGTCTCTTTCCTTTACCATAGTCCACTTATTGGAAAATAATGGAGCCAACAGCTCATCCCGTTGTTCTTTTGTTAACAGACTAGGCTACAACAATGCACATTATGTTAACAAGTAATTAATAATATTTTTTCATAACAGGGAATAAAAAAGTAATTTAATAGTTTCTTTAATGTTTATACATTCAAGTTTTTCAGATTCAATAGACTGCACCTTTTTTCAAATATGCCACTGCACAGTGGAAAGGAGCTAAACTAAACACTTCTCAAGAATTGGAGAGAAGACTAAGCATTGACATTGATATCTGTACTTTAATAGTTAAATATATTTTATCTTAAATCAATTTTGTTTTTAAGACGGTAAATAAAAATATATTTATATTTAACCACTTTTGATTTTACTTATTTTAAATAAAAAAAAAAAACACTTCATTTACTAAGTGCATAATTATTTAATTTTTATAAAAAATAAACATCAATTAATTATTGGGAGCTAATATTATAATGTAAATACACACAATTGATAAACATTTATCTATTACCTAATACGGGTGTTTTATTTTTTAAATTGTATATAGTTTATATAAGTACTGTTTGGCAAATCCTAATAGACAAAAGTTCCAAGTTTTAATTAAATTCATTAATTTATCTAATGTTATAATACAAATTTATTATAACTAAATCAATTTTCAAAATGTATTTTCTCTTTTAGATGAAACCAATCAAAATTTTTAATTTATTTTTATATAAATAATCAGATATATACTTTATGTATACTTACCATTTTTCTAGTGGTCTTTGTCGAATATCGGAACAAACACTGGAGTACTGGTTTTGTCGCAGTCCTGAACAGTAATGTACTCATTAAAATATTATACTTCAACAACAATAGCTAATAATGTGAAAGTATTTGAATTTCGAAATACCGGTTTGTTTTGTTGCAAGCACCTTATGTAAACACAATTGAAATTAATCAAAGACAAATTAAAAACTTGTGTTATCGGTTATCTAATAGGTATTGTTGATACTTATCGATAAGTCACAATGATATTATCATGAACGTTGCATACAACTGAAAAAAATTGTAAATTAGATGGTTGATTTCAGTTTTTATAATATCATAAGTCATAAACGTTTAATAGAAAACTATAAGCAAATTAAATTTACATGCTAATATGACGGTTTTAAAAAGTTGAAATTACTTTACCGGCGGTAGTTACCTATTTGTTGTTACTAGCTGCTAGCTATTATTTTGTTATTAAACAAGAAAATTTTGCTTATCACCGTCTGCCCATCGATGCTCATCAAAATATTATTATGGTGTTATCACTTGTCTGACTGATAACAGTGATAACCTAAATGTTGATTGATAATAATCATATTTTTTTGATTTCCGAACGGCAACGAGGAAAACATGGTGACTGGTATACACACCAACCTATTTCAAATTATAAACCGAAACAAAACGATCTGAACTACTGCACTTGGCTTTTAGTTTATCGTTTCGTCTCTCCAAAGTGGTTTGTGTCAACGGCCAATCAACATCATGAAAGGCGTCGTTGACCAAGTTTTTGTTGCTTCAAATGTACAACCTATTGTCAGTAAGTCTTGGATACCTATCTTAAATACACAACACCTGTGAAAAGTAGAAAAAAAACCTTAATGTTTCTTTATTGTACGCAGTGATTGAAAACGTTTATATCGTTTCACATAAACGTTGTAGAACATAAAATATTTTTTAAAGATACTTAGAAGTTTATTTAATGATCTTTTTTTTAAATTATTGTTTTTAATAATTAGTAATTACTTTTTACTGTAGGGCGTAGATAAACCTTACATATTGTGGCAAAGCAATATAGAAGACAATGAAGCCATGTCGATTCAAAATTTTTCAATCGCCTCATTACTAATGTTAAACGTTTAGTCATTAAATTTGTTTGACGTTTAATACTTAAACTTGATTAACATTTTAAAATCATAATCGGAAAACTTAAGTTAACGTTTTAAAAATGTTAATTATTGGATCCCAAAAAATGTTTTATGAAGCTTAACAATATAATGAAAAAACGTTTTCAAGACATTATTATGTGAAGCACCTAAATTAGCTTTGCAATACAAAGCAAATTGTACGGCTTCGATTGATTTCGATTTTATAAAAATGCAATACTTATTTGTTGTATTATGGTTGTAGCTACCAACGAGGTGGGCCAGTTCATCTCGTCAGACTCTTTGGACTGTGGTATGGTGTTTGATGAATCATCAAACAGGCCCATATTGAAAATATTTAACCAACATGGAGGCACAGTAGAAGAAGAAGACGCTACCAAAAAAGTCAGCAGCAAAGAATATGTAATTTTGAGACACAAAAGGAGTAATAAGGTAACTTTATAATGTTATGTGCTTATTGCAAGTTCAGTACTCAATTTTTCATTTATTAATATTTATTATGGTGAAATCAGGTATCCATATATGGTGTAAAAACAGTTTTTCTAAAAAAACCAGATTATTATAAAATTCAAACATATACGCAAGGAGACCTGGCCAATCACGCTGAAGAGTTTAATTCAACTTTTAGAACTAAAAAAGTGTCTCGCATAATCAAAGCAAGAGGTAACGATGCTATTGAAACTTCGACGGAGATATTTGGAATTATCAAACCTATGAGTATGTACCTATATCTCTATTAATATATTACTATTATTATAAGTCAGTCAATGGACATCAACAAGTTTATTTAAAGTATAGCTTACGATAGACCATCCTCTTAAACTACACATTAAGTGTTTTACAAATATCTGAACAAAATCTGAACCTCCGCAGGGGTAAGGTCAATTATTCCCCTTGCCTTTTTTCTGCATCAATTATCATAATCATTATGTATTATAAAATTTTACAAAATAATATTTTTACTGAGGGCTGAGTGACTTATTAAATTCGGTTATGAACGTCAGAACTAAGAATGGTGCTTTTATTGCATTTAGAGGTGGGACCAGGTGAAGTGTCAACTATGATTTTAATTTTTTTTTTTATAACAAATTAAAATGTATAGAACAGTTTGTGCTATCACTGTATCAGTCTGAGTTTTGAACACGTATTTATAATCATATTAATAATTAATACAGTTATTCCTGCGGACGCCCTTCATTGCTGAACAATAAAAATGAATTCAAACAAATTATATTATTACTTTTACTTATTCTCTGTAACATATAAGTATTAGAACATATTTTAATTCTACATTTTAGCTAATGACATATCACAGTTATCGTCATCTACAACTCAGATTGATGAGTTTAATAGTTATTTGCCACTGGGATGTAATCGTTTTGCTACTAACATTGAAGATGTATATCCAGTATCGACTCTGTTGTCGGAAAACGAAATAGATTTAATGACGGACTACGCAAATGAAGTTATAACTATGATACCAGTTCCTGAAGACAATGAGGAGTAAGTTGTATCTATTTAAATTGTGTATCTATGTATTTATAATTATTCATGAAATATTTCATTTTACAGTTTGTCCAAGTTTTTCATAGCCAACGTAAACAGACTGCCTCAAAAAAATGTACAAAACATATGCCTTCTTACTTTGGCTGATGCACTTGTTACTTTACTGTTTTTAAAAAGCGAAGACGTGAATAAAAATTATGCTATTTATCCGAACAGTGAATTGATTAACAGCAAAGTGTTAGATCACTTTACTGAATACAGTATCACAGGAAGGTAAATATATTGTTTAACAAAATATCCTCATCACCATTGTAAAGTCACATCAAGTAAAATATTTAACACAACAATTTTCACTCACATCAAAAACTTTGAATTTCTACCATAAACATTATAAAATGCAAATATAGTATTTGTTATAAATTCAAAGTATAAAACATTAAAGCATAGTTTTTGACAAGCCATTTTATACAACGCGGTTAAACTGTTTCTTATTTTTACTCTATATTTATAGTGATGATTTATAGTTCTAAAATAAAAATGTGTGAAAAAAGTTGTAATGTCATGTTAAAAATAACATGTGTAGTTTAAGTAATCTCTCTATATGTTTTAGACACGTTTCAAACCTAACACGAGTGAAAATTATTGTGTTTGTTTTACGTTAAGCGGTTTTTAACATTATGTGTTAAAATATTTTTTATATATTTAAAAATTTTTTCAGGGATATTTCTTCAAAAATGAAAGATAAAGCCGTATGCCATATAATTATTGTGATGCTTCTGATTAACATGACTTACTTGGACTTGAGTTGGATATCACAATTTCTTCCTGGAAAATGTCAAAAAAGGTTAAATTACATTAGTTTTACTATAAAAATTATTCATTTAAAGAAAACCAAATATTAGTTTAAGAATTATGTACCAGAAGCTTTTGGTTAGTTTAGTGACCGACTAAAAATTCATTTAAAAATCATGCATTTTTCTTATAAATATAAAATGTGGTATTAGACGACGGTGTTGTTACCTAGTTTGCCTAGAAAAAGAAATAGTTAACTGCCTCAGTTGAGTTTGGTTAGCGATACATTGCCACTTAAATTTAACTGAACCCTTTTAGAGTTCTTGTGGAATTAATTTTGATATTTAATTCGCGGTATACCACATGCTCAACTTTACGTTAGCTCACGGTTCTTTTTGTTGGAAATAATTGTAATTTTTTTGTTTTTATAAGTTTTTTTGTTTTTATAAGTTTTTTTGTTAGTTATTTTACAATAGTAAAATTTGCCTAACAGACCGGTCTAAAAATTATTTTTGAATAAGTTAAAAATCTTTTAGAAATAACGCTTTTTAATCGAGATTAAAAAATAGTCAAATTATACGATTATAAACACATGTATTGTCTATAAAGTAATTTACACCAATTATATTGAATAGGTTTAACAAGCTCTGGGTTAGCATCAAGCCTTTTATACTTTATAGTCACCTGTAATAATTCCTTAAGACCTGTGACCTTCCCTATCCCAACATGATCTTTTCATTTTATATTGCAGCTGTTAAAATAATGATTAAAATTTTTAGGTAAAAGGAATTAATATTAGTTTAACATGACTAATAGTGATAGTATGATTTATTAAAAATAATTTATTAACAACAACGTTTTCGTTTTAGATTAATAATGCTTATGCGAGTTGTTGGAGCTACAGCGACAAAAGAAGACAAAACTAAATTTACATTAAAAATTCCATTGGCCGCATTGCCTACATATCAAAGGACACCGAAAAGAAAACGTTAATCAACAAATAGTTTTTAATAACAAAAAATGTATAAAAAAATTTAAAAAAATTGATTATTTTATTTTGTCGACAAGTAATTTTTTTTAATTTTGATTCGTCACTTATTTATGTTTCGATATTATGTGCTGTCATTTTAAATTTATATAGAAATACAGTATTTTTTTTTTTTTTTTAATTAAAAAATATGCAAGTTTCTTGGTTGTATTCGGGGTGGAAGGGAAGAAGTGATATTATATCCAAGATCATATTATAGAGACTGCTGTATAACTTCTTACTTTTGTGTAAAAAGTGTGACTGAATATACACTTTTCATAGATTTAGACTTCAGTTTTAGCTTAAATGTGCATCCATACAAATTTAGAAATCAAACCCTAGCTGTAATAAACCTTTGAAATTAATAAAATGTATTGTCACATGACTCATTCTAGCCAAAATTCGCCCATGACAATTATGGATAGAATCACAATTCTAATTTATACAGATATACTTCTAAGTGAACCACACCGGATATTATTTTTTATTAGACCATTCTGCTTTGTGTAGACAAATCCAATACTTAGGTTTATTTTTGGCTTTGAACAGCCACCATTCAGGTTAAAATAATGTTTTTAACTTGAATATGTAATATAAAACTTATTTTTATAACTAGATATTTTCTTTACACCATTGTGTGATACATGAAACTTGGATAAACCTCCATTACGATGCAGGTTAGATTAATATAATTTTATACTAAACCTAATTATTATATGTCATCGAGACTAGAGAGATCAGCTTATTGTATTTTCTTAGTTCAGATACTATGTATACTAAATGAGAAGATTAAAACTTAGTGTAAGTCACATAAACTTTAATTAGGTATTAGAAAAAAACAAGGTTTAATAAAAACTTGTATTGTGTTGTCATATGTCAGTAGAGGTTATGAATTAAGACTTTTTCTCTATTGCCTTTCGACAAACTGACTTTTTAAGAAACGCCTACAATACTTAACTCAACATTTTATTTGACTTGCAGCACATTTTTTGG